GACAGAGAAACACAGAGAGAGAGAGAGGCAGTGGGAAGGAGTTGGGCAGGTACGGCGGGTGCCTGCTGCCTCTCTCTCTCTCTCTCTCACACACACACACACACACACACACACACACACAGAGGCTGTGGGCGCTACGGACAAAACGGCCTCAGAAAAACCTATTTTCAGCATTAAAAAAAAAGAAAACTAGGAATACTCTTTTTTTTTGTTTTTTCCAGATACTACACTCATGGGCCTATCGCTCCATGTTTTTTTTTTTTTTTCCATCCCCGTACACCCCGCGATAAATACAATCACGGGTCCCGTACATTTGAGTACAACGTGAGTTTTGTACTCGCGTACTTTTTTTCTTTCTGTACACTGTACAGGAGAGACACCTAGCTGTATGGGCAGGCGATGAGGGGGCCTGCAGCCGCTCGCCCTGCCGGTGATAACCTTTCAGTCCTGCGCGCAGTAGGTGGTCCATGCGAGAATCTATTCGCTACCTCAGGCTACTGGGTCTGTTCCTCATCTCACAAGGATGGAGATGGTCTAATTACGGGTGCAGCCAGAGGATGCCACATTGCATGTGGCACTTGAACGGAGAGGCATCGACAGGTGATGGCGTCGGGGATAGTGCATGCAGTAGACACGCATAGACTCCATGACAGCTTCCTGAAAATATTGATTATACATGGCATGTTCCTGACAAGCCAGAAGGAAAGCCGGCTTCACAGTTAGTCAAGCATGGCATATCACGGCATTCACAGATCTTCAGCTGCTTGTGAAGCTGTATCGGTTCTTGGTAAGGAGGACAGACAGCTCTTTCAATGCTGTTGTCTTGAAGAGATTGTTCATGAGCAAGACGAATCGGCCTCCTCTGTCGTTGTCCAAGCTCGCGAAGTACATGGAGAACAAGCCGGACCATATCGCCGTCATTGTGGGGACTGTCACGGACGATGTCAGACTGTATGAGGTGCCGAAGCTGACGTTGTGCGCTCTGCGTGTCACTGAAACCGCCCGTGCAAGAATCCTGAAGGCGCGAGGAGAAATTCTTACGTTCGATCAGCTGGCTCTCCGAGCGCCAACCGGGTCTAAGACGGTATTGCTGCGCGGACCGAAGAACGCAGGTGAGGCGGTCAAGCATTTTGGCCCTGCTCCCGGTGTGCCCCACAGTCACACGAAACCCTATGTCAGAGCCAAGGGAAGAAATTCGAGAAGGCCAGAGGAAGAAGGAACAGCAGAGGGTTCAAGGCCTGAGAAATGCCTCCATGCCAATCTATTTTTGCGTGACTGCAGGCCACCTCTCTCTCTCTCTCTCTCCCTCTCTCTCTGCTTACGGCGTTTTGTTTGCTCTCTATGCGATTCGACACTTGCAGCTGCTCTATCGTTTTTTTCCTAAGCCGCATTGTCGAGACCTGTGAATCGGATCTGGACGAGTGGATGATCGAGTAGGTGTTGAACTCCTATCGGCCTCGGCTTTGGATGGGCCTTCTCTGGAAGGGGATAGTAGCGTGATGATTGCTAATTTCCATGAATCCATGCAAGAACGTAACGACTGAGTGAATGTCTCTTGGGGTGGACTCATAAATTTTGAGAATTGCCCTTATGGATTTTCAGAATTGCCCTTGTGAAACGGAGTCAGTTTTGTTGAAGCAGGGTGAGGAATGCAATTCAGCCATTGTTGAAACGATAAAAAAAAAAAAAAAAAAAAAAAAAAAATCGATTTTTTTTTGGGGGGGTTCCCAGGCCGTTTACCTGGGCCTGGGGTACCCCGGAAAAATAATGCTGATGTTTTTTGAGAGCCGGTACCCCAACCGGACAGGCCCTGAAAGGGACCTCTGTGTGATAACATTGGCACACGAGTTCACTGCTTTGCTCTTATTTGGATGGAATCTTGGTGCATTTGAGCTCTCTTCTTGGTACATGACTATCTTGACTTCTGCGTGATTTTGCAACTTGATTTTCTGTCTATCGCTCTCGCTCATATTCCTTGCATTTTTGTGACGTGGGAGGAGGGGCGACCAGGGATGGGAGGGAGATGAAGGATGGGAGGGCGATGAAGGATGGGAGGGAGATAAAGATGGGAGGGTGATGAAGGATGGGAGGGAGATGAAGGATGGGAGGGCGATGAAGGACGGGAGGGGCGAGCAGGGATGGGAGGGCGATGACGAATGGGAGGGCGCTGAAGGATGGGATGGTGATGAAGGATGGGAGGGAGATGAAGGATGGGAGGGGCGAGCAGGGATGGGAGGGCGATGACACCAGACAGAGATGAGCGACATTGGATACTGTGTTGGTGGGGCCTGAAGGCGATGACATTGGCACACCAGTTCACTACTTTGCTCTTATTTGGATGGAATCTTGGTGCATTTGAGCTCTGTGCTTGTTTTTTTTTTTTTGTTTGTTTGTTTGTTTGTTTGTTGTTGTTGTTGTTGTTGTTGTTGTTGTTGCAACCGGGCACTGACACAGCAAACCGGACTGTCCGGTTCCGGATGTCTGGATGTCCGGTTTCATGTCCGGTTAACCGGACGTCCGGTTTGATCCAGACACGGGTCCGGTGTCCGTGTCCGGTTGTCCAGTTGTCCGGGTCCGGGGCAACCATGGATATAAGCAGATATTATAATTATTTTGTGTCTTCTAACCAAAAGGTGGTGGTTAGGCAGATGCACAATTGTGTGGGATGTGTTGGGCACTTCTTTTTTAATAACTCCATGGCCATTGCTCCAGTGGACTTCGGGGAGCATCAGTCCAATTCCTTTCCCACTGGCAAGATAACACAAATACAAAACAGCAAACACTGACAGCAATGGTTGCTCCCAGTGCTGGGCGAGTGCGGGTCATGTCTTTTCTTTTCTTTTTTTCACTTTCTCTGTTTTTTTCTTGTCTGCATGTTGAGGGAGATCGAACTTGGGGTTGCCGAGGGAAGTACATTCGTAAAGTTTTCCGTCTTCTTTTCTGCTGTGCTGCATGGCGTTCACGTACATGTTCTTCACGGACAGACGTACATGCACAAATGTATGCAGCCTTGTACACGGTGTCCGTGCAAGGTAAAAAAAAAAAAAAAAAAGCAATAAAAAAAATCTAGGAAAAAGATATGTTATGCATCATTGCAATCGAGACAGTGTCCGCCTGAGACTCTGAGAGCCACCTCCAAATGCATAGCAAAATCCACGGGAAAAAAAGCAAAAACAAAAAAGCAAAAAGACGGGGTAATCAGCGCAAAAAAAAAATCAGGAAAAATAAGGATATCATTGCGCTACAAAGACACAAACAACCTTTGGCTGAGTGTCATATTCAAATTCTATAAGCGTGTACACACATTTGAGATCACGTACACCCACGATACAATGTTACAGACAACTTTTGGGCGAGTGTCATATCCATATTCCGTACGCACGTACACACGTATGGGGTCGCGTACTCTTACGGCAGTACATATGTGTATCGCCTGCACTCTTACCCAGTGCAAGACGGCGTCTATGTTTTCTCTTATTTCAAGCGACCAGTACTCCCACACCTCTTTTTCCTGTGGCCAATTTCTGCTGTGCTCCGAGTTCTGTCAAACTGGAGGGAGGTCCCACTAGGACTGGGCTAGGCTTATGCCGGGTGTGACATCAGTGCGCGGCAGGTTCATTACAAATCTCTGGGCAGAGAAAACAGGAGAAAAGCACCATAAACAAAAACAAATGGAGACCTCATTCCCAGAAATAACAAAGCAGTGCTTCCGGCATGAGATCACAATTTGATGGCAGATGTTGCCAGAACAGTGAAAAAATAACCGCCACCTTTCTGAACAAACATCCTAGTGGTGTCTAGCGTACATGGTGTCTAGCCACATGGAGCATGTGAATTCCATTTGAGCTTCAGAATCGTTGTTTTCTTCACAAGTAACCATCTGTCAATTTTCTTTCCGAATGCAAGGGTCCGTTGACTTTGGTATATAACATATATGTGTGGTAGTGACCCTATCAATACACCTTTTTAGTGAGGATCCGTTGACTTCGGTATATATGTCTGGTAGTGACCCTATCAGTACGCCTTTTTTAGTGTGCGTTCATGTCAGCGGTTTGGCATTCTATGTTTCAGGTGCTTCGCTTCAAATTCGGGAGTGGAAAGAAAGTTTCTTTATGGTGAAGGTTCGACAACACACAACCTGTCTTAAACTTGGAGATTGTCTAAAATGGGAGTGATGCAGAGGGGTTATGCTGGGAGAAGAGAGACTCAAATATCTCCTACTGACTCAAGCCGCCCAACACAGCAGCGCTGGGGAAGCCGAGAGAACAAGGCAGAGAGGAGCAGGGAAGAACTGCGGTGGACTTGGCGCAGGAAGATTCTCCATCAGCCCCAAGTACTTTTATAACTGACGAGAGAAACTCTACCGGACTCTGAACCGCGGACAGTACTGAACAGGGTTGCCTACCAGCCAACCGCTGACATCGACGGCCAACTGTTCCACAGCCCATCAGTAGGGCCGACCAGTAGGCGGTCTGCCAACCAGAAGCTACCAGGGCCACTGATCCTTTTTTTTTTAATCTGAGTTTGGGGCTGTACTGTGCTTGATAAGTACATCCCAAAAATGGGGAAGGGAGTTGAGGGGGAGTTATGGTGGGGTAAGGGGGGGTTGTGGGGGGATTGGAGGTTTTATTGGGGAGATTGGAGGTTTTATGGAACAAGCCACCGCACCTTGGTGCACCGACAAATCACGCTTACACGAAAAGGGTGGGCTACATACCACCATAGTTTGGTGCAGGTAATCAACAGTTAGGTGAAAGTTCGGGCTACAAGCTGCCACACTGAAGTTCGTTGAAAAGGTCAAACAACAAGCCACCACATTAAACCACCAGTACTTCCTAAAGTCGCGTAGGGTTAACGCTACGCGATTTTCGGAAACGTACGGGCCACTACAGGAGCGCCCAAATTCATCCAACTAGAAACATTTCTACTCTATTTTTTCCGCGGCCGATAGCTGGGCCAAGTACTGGTGGTTTAAGGTGCAGGTAAACCACAATTAGATGAAAAGATTGCGCTATAAGCCACCACAGTCAGGTGGACCAACAAATCACAGTTAGGCTGAGTTAGCTGAAAAGGCCGGGCTACAAGCCACCACGGTTGGCTGCAGGTTCGGCCAGAAGGCCCTGAAATGATCCAAACAGTGGGTCACTGGCACATAACATTTTGAAAATCCATCCAAGGGGGAACCCAGGCTCCTAAATGACCAACGGGTAAGCACTCGACTACTACAGAAAATACTGTGCTGTCCTAGACTACCAGAGTGGCTTGGGACCACTTAAAAAATAAAACTATACATATATCTTTTTTAATCAAACAAAGCAGATATCATATAACCGGGAAACGGGCCTGGCAAAAAAAAAAAAAAAGGGCAAAAGAAACGGGCCTGGAGTCCCTTACATCATTTGCTGCGGCCAGACGGGCTAAGCAAGGCACTCTCGGTCAAACCTATCCCTACCGCAGCCCCACAAGGACGTGACAACCAACCCCAATACCAATCCCAACCCTAAAACAAAAACCGCATTCCCTAAGGCAAAAGTTGTTCAGTTCATTTCATGGCTACCATGCGGACATCTGTACGTGCATCCAGACGGTCTGGGGTCCGGTGTCTGGATGCCGGACCGTAGGAGGCCAAAACCCCAAAAATAAAAAAAAAGGGAGGCACCCTGGACCTGTTCCTCGGGTCCAGGGCATTCCCCCAAAAAAGTTTCGTGGATTTTTGGGGCCCGTATTCGTTGCACAGGGCGGCCGGACCAGGCCCTTTCTTACTTCCCGCTCTCACTGTGCAGAGTCGTGCAGACCGTTGGCGGGTCCAGGCAAACTTCGTACTTTGCCGCCCGCCCCACCATCTGCCCTTGCATGCGCTATCGGCCGACACACACGCACACCCACCCACACACACACACACACACAGAGAAAGCAAGGGTGGTACTGGCAGGCGTTAGCGAGCACGCACACACACACGGAG